CCTCTGGCCCGGCAGCTCCTTCTGGAACTCGGCACGCTTCTCGTTCATGAACTGACCGTAGGCGCCGCCGACAGGTCTCTTGGGCTGTGTTTCGGAGGCCATGGCTCTGAGTGAACAGGGCTGAACGCAGGCAGCGAGGATGTGTGAGGCGGCTCGGGCAGCTGCACGGCTGGCAAAGATGGTCACTGCACTGCAGTTATCATTTAAAATCAGTAAAATTTGCTGAGACCTTGCCACATATGCGAAGACTCGAGCTCGAGGCAGCCGTCATCAAAGACAGGAAGAGTCATGGGTTGCTGCATTGCTACGGGCTTGTGTCGCCCGGTGTCTCCGAGAAGTACCCAGTAGCACGCATCGTCGGCTGCATTGATTGAGGCTCGGAGAAAACCCTGTTGAATGCTAAGCACAAGGCAACCAGCTGTAAAAGTTTATGACGCTGCTTGATTCCGTGCTTGGTCGAGGAGCAGCCAGTGGGAATTGAGCACAGCATAGACTTGGCCAAAACCGGTTCGATCAACATCGAGTCGGTGGTGTTTTTTGTCGCGGCTTTTGCGCCAATCAGCTCATGCCGTGCCAAGAAACCAGTTTGGCGCTTGCGCCTCCTGGCAACCTTGAGGACCAAATCCACCAGCATGGAGATGTAATAGTGGTATGGCTGAGTTACAGCACGCAGGTGCAGGAAAGGCAGTTTCCGTTTGCATGCGAGTCCCACGAGACCGCCAGGACCCTGTACGCCCTGTATGTGGCAACCTCGCAAATCCAAGGCACTTTCCAGGCTTGTCCAATGCTTCAGCAAACTGCCTGCATGCAGCTGCATCATGCTGCATTTAACCCATGCGGATAGAGAAACTTTCAGTGCGCAAAGGACGAAGCTGATGAGAATGTCGGGATTGAATCCACAGGGCTTTCAGTGGGTCACATAACCCAGAAATTGCTGCAGGCTGCCCTTAAAGTTTGGTGTCCTGCTCACGACGACACCTCACCGCCCTGCAGGATTCAAGTCTTCCGACAAGGGAAAGATTTATGTGGGGCATCCTTCCTGCATTTTGGGCCATCAAAAGACACCATGCGGGTCGCAAATAGAAGAGGAAACAAGGCACCGCCAACCTACAAATGCACAGAAATGCCTTATGATGCCTTGCCTTGTGACATATGATGCCTTATGTTTTTCCTTGATTGGCGTGCATCCCCGCATGCTGTTTCAGGTTTGGGAGGAAAGGGACCTCACGAGCAATTGAGTCCTCGTTGCCCTTTTCCTGCACTCCACATTGCTTCTGTGGCCTTGTCGATGTCGGTTCCTGCGGTTTTGATCGCATTTCTGTATAGATCTGTGGGCACCGCTCGAAATCAGGAAACATGCGCCCAGCATGTGTTCTACTCTTTTTGACGAGGCTTGCAGATCCTCCTGCATGCATCCATGACTAGGCAGCCTAGGCATGCTTCCCCGAGTCTATGCTCACAAACTTCGCTTTGGTAGCTGCAGCATGACCAAACTTCGCGTCAGCGTGATCTCAGCCACACTGCAACTCTTGCGAGGAGAGCAGAGAAGCTAAAGTCATCCGGTGTTTCACCTTCACCGTGCGCGCGCAACCGCATCGTGGCTATGTTGAAGATGCCTTAACTAGTCCACCACTAGGAAGTCTTCTTCCCCTTCATTTTTTTCTTGGCGGGCTCTGCATTCTCCTCGTCATCTTCCACTGGAGCATCTTTGCCGCGCAGCTTCTTGTACTCTTCCATGGCAGCCTTGTATTCCGCGTTCTTCTTTTGGTACTTCTCCTGATAAGGCTTCTGTTCCTTCTCCGACAGTGCCTTCCACTGGACGCCGGCTGCCTTGCTGATGTCGGTGATCTTGTAGCCCTTCGGAAGGGTCTTGATGATCTTGTCGCGGTTTTCGGCGAGGAAGATGCCGTAGGCACCGCCCGCTGGCCTCTTCGGGGCGTCGGGGTCCTTCGCCTTCTTTACCTTTCCGTCTTTGCCCTTGCGAGCGATCTTCTCCTTCACGCCCCCGGCCGCCTCAAAGACCGCCAGGTCCTTATCGTATTTCTCCTTCGCAGCCTCGTACTTCTTCTGGTAGACGGCTTTTTGAGCATCGCTGAGCTTCTTCCAGCGCTCGCTGGCAAGCTTTGACACCTCCGATGCTTTCTGTCCCACCAGCTCCTTCTGGAACTCGGCGCGCTTCTCGCTCGTGAACTGACCGTAGGCGCCACCAACAGGCTTCTTTGGCTGCACCGGCGAGGCCATTGTGCCAAATGGCAGGAAGAAGGCACCGGAAGGCTCGAACAACTGCACGGCTCGCACGCGGTAGTGATTAGATTCTGTCTGATTCCGCAGACTGACAAAGATGAAGCTCGAAGACCACTGGAGCCACATGAAAAGATTTCGTGGCCTCTGAAGTCTACAATGGCACTGTCAAGACCGGGAGCATTGCCTCCCACCTCAGCTGTCACAAAGTAAGGATTGGAAGTGGAGGCAGGCTTAAATGTCCTAGTAGCTCTCTGCTCGTCTTCCGGGAAGCCCCTCTGCTTGGGTTGGTGTTGGGCTCGAAGGTGTTGGAGCACATGCGTCTGCCTCCGCGAACTCCGTTCAAAAGCCATGCTTCTGACGGATGCCAAGAAAAATTGTGGACTCCTGTGCTCGTTGCCTTTGCTCCTCAAGCTCGCCCGCTTGTTCAGCTTGCAGTTTGCCATCGCTCGAATCTAAGCCTAAGCTGCACACAGCCGCTGTCAGCCCCCTACACTACGGATTTCCCACCCAAACACCTAAGGTCCACACACGGCTGTGCACCGTCACATATCAAGACCCAAGCTTTGTGATGCTTTTGAGTTCGTCTGTCCTCTCTTTGCTTTGTGGACCCATCTTGCATGCTGGGAAAATGTGAAGTCGAGGTCAGTACGTGTGAGTGCATGGATGTGCATGGTGGCCGACTGGCACCAACATGTTTCAGGAAGGCCGTGAGCTCGACCAACGTAAAGTTACTCGCATCTGATATTTTGTGGGATCGCTTACATGAGGTGCGTGTGGAGAGATCTTCAGCTGCAGAGATTTAGCCGGCTTAGATGATGTGAAGGGCGGAGTCCAACTTCGTGCTGCAGATGAATAGCTTCGTGCAGCCTGTCTTCTTACTGCAAAAGCAGCACTCGAAATCAGCACGTCAGGGAACGCTGGAGCTGCACAGTTGATGATCGAGCAGAGAGATACCAGCTCTGCAACACTGTATGAGCTCTGCGCGATCTTCGAGGCTGGATCAAAGATGCACGGCATGCCGCTTCCCCCGATTTCTTCGAGCCGGGGAGTTGACAAAAGCGCGGCATTGCCCGGCTCATTCTGGCTCACGGGACCGTGACGAGCACCAGCAGCTCAAGCTCTACCGATGTCTCCTGTGTTCTCCCCCCGAGCCCCAGTCCCTGCAAATGTCTGCGAGTCAGCTCCTGGAAGTGGCGAGGCTGCTTGCAGCCGCCTCAAGCCAGGCCTCAGCATTCGCGCTGCCTGCAGTGTGGAGTCGAACTCAGTGGGCTGGTCGAGGAACTTCAAAGGCTAAAACATGCATGTGCTTCGCATGCACATGCGACAAGACATGTTGAAACATTTTTCCCCCTTGACGATGAGATCGATGAGTGGCTCTGAGCGGTGGCATGGCAATGCGTTCCGCATCTCGAAACATGCCGGCTGTGCGAATGGAGCAAACAATGCTGTCCTTATCATGGCTCGTACCGCATCTGAACATCTGGTACCTGAAAACCAAGCTCCGCTCCGGCACGATCCACGGCAGAGTGCATTCTGCGACGCGAATTCAACCCAGAGGCACGAGGCGGCACTGACTTCAAGATTGAATCGCAGCTGAACCCATGCACAACCGCGCGTGCCAATTTAAAGATAAGTAGCAGTGCCTATGCACTGAATTAGTGTACCCTTACTACGCCCATAATCTGCTTGATCATCTCTCCTTGGTGTCGCAGAGTAGTGGCACAGTGACTTCATTGCAGCAGCAAGGACGACAACGACAAGCCACGATTGTGAGTCTCATTGGTCTGTGGCGTGAAGGTGCAGTCCTCGAGAAGCAGAACCAAGACCCGCAGGTGCCCCGGAGGAGTCCCTGGGTGACGGGTCCTCGTCAAGCGGAGGCCTTCGAAACTCCTTGAAATCGAGTGCTGGGGATTTACCCTTTGGTGATACACTCCAAGTCCCTGCAGATCCCTGCGGGCCTTGCTGGTGTCCTTAGCCTCTGAGAGTTGGAAGGGCTCTGGGACAGTGACACCTTCGTGCCTTGGGCAAGCACGCTCCTCCCTACTAATCTGAATCATACTGAGTCATCTGATTTGTGTAACGAAATCGACGAGGGCTTCACAAAGCAAGACTCTCGGGACGAAAAACACGCTGTTCGCGTTCGAGCTGTTCCTGGTCAGCAAGATTTGCTTGTCCAACTGAGCAATCCCACGCACTGCCGCGAACCATCCGCTTGTTTTGCAGGTGTGGCCAAGTTGGAACGTCACTTCTGGATGCATGATTTTCCAAAACGCAGCTTCTGCACTTGACCTTTTCGGCACGTCAGTGATAGCCCGGTGCAGCCACAAAAGCAGATATGTCGAAGAATGCAACGTGATTTTCTTTTGCTTCCAGCTCCTTCGGAGTCGTCCTGCCGGTTAAGGCCGCACAGCTGAAAAGCCCACGGCCCGAAAGACGCTCCACTAAAGTGGAATCTCAAACTAGTAGGCAAAGATTTGGGCCGAAGGAATTCCTGCGGTACGGCCTTCGTTGTGACGAAATGTATGCAGAGACGCGACAGCTGAATGTTTCATGAAGTTGAAGCTTAGGAACTTACATGGCTCAAAAGCTATACAGCACAGAGAATGGCCAAGTCGAAAAATCACTCCTCACTGGTTGCCAGCATGTTCCGGCGCTTCTTGGCACTGAGGAAGGCATCGTCATATCTCAATCTCCAAATTCCAGAGAGCAACAGCTTCTTGATGCAGTCCTGCTTCTGACTTTTCGTCATGCCGTCTGCCAACTGATGGTCTGAATCGCACCAAAGAAGCGTGGTGTCCTGCTCCTGGATATGCTGACTTAGGGCCTGAAGCTCTAAAGCTGAATATTTATCTCGAAGACAATATCCAGCAGATGCTATTTGACCCTTCATGAGAGTGTCATAGACAGCTTTAGCATCGGTCACCATGTAGCCTGCAGTCTTACGGGTACTTTCGTAGCTCTTCGAGAGGTTGATGATGTCACCCTGAAGTTCTCGCCATTGGAGCCTAGTGAACATCAATTCTTGTTCGGCATCGGAAAAGGCTTGTCTCAGCAGCTAAGCTGGAACGAGCAACGCGACTAAGTTTGCTGCTACGCCACGATGCCACATTCAACTTCCCAGTGCCACGGTCAATGGAAGATTGCGTCATGAAACCGATGACATATCCACCAGTGGATCCGAGGTCTGGCCTATTAGCTAAGGCTGCGTCTGACCAGCACACCAGCGACAACTCAGAAGGATCACATGGCCCCAACTGCTGAATGCCCACACTCACGTGCTTGCTGGCATGTACTTCCCGGACTAGTTTGTTCACGGCCAGAATCACTGACGAGTCACGGGTGGCACATAGGCTTTGGAGATATCCCAGTTTCGAGGCATGTTGAGGGCCTGATTGGTACACTCTCCATTGTATGGAGCCTAACACAGCACGGACCTGAGACATCTCAGAATCCGACATGGGCCGGTCCTCTCGAGGAACGGGGATTTGCTTGAGGTCCTCACAGAATTCGCTATGATTGAGACTGAAACTGAAATCGTCGTGCTGAACTACTCTCACGCCACAATGACTGAAATCAGTAGCTTCCCACGGTGACCGCTTGTACGATGCATGGAATGCCTCAACGAAGGATGTCCAAGTGTCATCATCCTCCATGCCGCCGAGGAGGAAGTCGTCCACATGGCTCGTGACGATGCCAACGACGACCTTTCGGTCCTTGTCCTGACGGCACACTCTCCACATGCAAGGATCGCAGACTAAACGTTCGGCACCAAGACGTGTCAAAGTATGATGAACATCAAGATACCATTCTCTTGGAGCGCTGCAGAGGCCGTAGCAACTACGCACAATTTGAACAGCATCTTGGGGTGCCAACTTCATCGCCTCTGCTCACTCTGCTATGGGCCGAGCGTACACATGACGATCTCGCTGAGGGCTTTCCGCCTGCAATAACGCGCTTTTCACATCTGCTTTCACTGCTCTCCACCGCTTGGTAGAGCACATCTGCAGAAAAAGCTGTCTGCTTAACCGCGACATTGCTGGTGATGCTGTCTCCACTTCAAGTAGATGTGGGTCAGAGAATCCAAGGATAACTGTGCGTGCCTTGGCCTTCATTTTGCCCGCGGTCGCAGCGTCACTGCCGGCACTTTTGAAGGTTAAAACCCATCTCATTCGAAGAAGTTGAGAATCTGGAACCACATGTCGTACTGCTTCGCAAGCTTGAGTGGAGATCCACTGGAAGTAGACCTTCGCCTCTGCCATTGCCTTCTGTTGTTCTGGGGACAGCTTCTGCCAGTTTATTTCCACACCCTTCTGGATGGACTTCGAAACGAATTTGCGAGGATCTTTCACTATCCGTTTCCACCCTTCCTCCGAGTCAGGAGCATCGATCACAACCGAAAACACGGACTGCTCAGCCTCCTGCTTGTCTAGGGGGGTCTGTTGCAAGCCACGACGCATCCGTCGATTTCCTTTGCGAGGTCGTGCAATCCACTGGTGACTGGCAAACGAAGGAAGAAAGTTCACATCACGCAAAAGATCCTCGACGACCAAGCTCTGTGCAGGAACTGGTGGTTCCTCGTAGTCTTCCTGAGCGGGAGGTACCGGGCTCCGAGATCTCGAGGTGGTCGGTTGTGGAACTGGAATCAGCTCGGGTTCAGACTCAACGTCTTGAGGAGGCGGATGTGTGTCAGGTACCCGCGGTTCTGGATCCTCGTTCACGGGGGCCTGCCTCTGGACACTGCTCTTCCAGGCGTCCGGCTCCTTCCTCTTTTCCTCTCTGTCGGAGGAGGAATCGTTTCATCATCATACTCTCCCTTGTCTAGAAGCCGGATCAGAGCAGAGAAAATCCAAGGCATGGCCTGCTGTTCAAAGGCCTTGGAGATCAGTCTCTCCTGCTCCGTCGCATGTCGAAGCTGAGAGGAATGGCACTTCTTCACGCGCCCCTGGCTGATGATCCAGATCATGTGCGAGGCCTTTCTCCCATCTGGCTCAACTTTCGTCTCACTTGCCAACACCCGTCCTGGTCCGTAAAATCGGCCGATCCTCATTCTTGATTTGTCGACGATGGAATTGGCTGCTTGGCCAGCGGGTTCTTTAAGTCGACGGTAGTAAATCAAATCTCCTGGAGTGAAGACTTCATTACCCCGGGTACGGGCATTCATCGCGCGGGAGGCAAGGTCTTTCTCCCGCTGCTCGCGAAATGTCTGCTCGGCCCGTTTTCTCAACATCATCGAAGAATGGAGATCGGTTCCTGAGGTCTTCATCGTCCCGATGGCAACCTCCTCCTCTCCAGGTCCAGGATTGGAGTGGCCGGAAGCCTGTAGGTCTCGCCCTAAAGCCCATTGCGCAGGTGAGAACCCATGGACCCTTGCCAGATGGTTATGTGCTCCAACCATTGAAGCAGCAACGATAGAAGGGTCTTGTGGCTCATGGCGAAGAAACACTTCAATCTTATGTCGCAAGAAGCCGATCTGTCGCTCAACATCCCCAATGGACTGATGGATCTCTGCTGGGGCATGCTCCAGTCGCACCCTCCCCTGGTCCCGCACCAGTCCCGCGACTGGGGTCCGCGGAACGCCCCCTCCAAATCCAATTTGATCACGGTGGGGATCCCGGAGTACTGAATCCATCTCATGTGCAAGGATTTGAGGAATTGGGGGGTGCTTATGTTCTCGTTGCTATCTGCAGGATGTCGCATGACTTCATCTACAACAGCATACCCAGAGGCTTCATCGACGTACAAGATGAAATGAAACACAGCTTTCGCAATCTTCATCGTGAACGCGTCTATCTGCACAGTAGACCAAATAGTGTCTTCTTTCTCAAGATTCACAACAGGTTGAAGATTCTTGAACTGGCCTTCATAACATTCCTCACACTCGGTTTCCCGGATGACCCATCTTGCGATGCAACTGCATAGCAATGTGAGTGAGAGACTCTAACTCTTTCAAATCCAGGTCCTGAAGGATCTCGGAGGCATCCACTGTGAAGGCTGAGTCATCTTCGAGGATCCCATCATGCTTACCTGAGAAAAGAGCGGCAACGCCGTGGTACACGTCTTGAAGTTCCTTGTGGGACTCAACATGAAGCACTCTAGACATCACGGAGGAGGTGCAGATCACCTTGTGATTCTTGGTCCGGATCACATACATCATCCCTTGTCGGGCCAGCATATGAAGAAAACCTTTGAATTCCGGTAGTCGAAACACAGCGGAGTCCACAGGACACTCTAAACACACACTCCCTCCGCGCTTCATCTGCAAATTCATGAACATGAGGCCGCTCTGAACTGCCTTCCGAAAGCTGTTGAAGTTGCGAGGTTCTCGCCCAGGATGGCCTCTAGCTTCACCGGTAGGCAAAAGAGGGTCATCAGGTCCCTTGGTGGTGCATGGCTGAGATCGTGGTCCTTGTTGAACATGCCACCACAACCAAGGCGCGTGGTGTTGTTCCAAGAGACTCGAGGCTTTCTGGATCCCGGCCTGAGACTTGAGCGAGCACTTACCCTGCGCATTCAAGTTGTAAACTGGAACCTGATGCTTCTTCATGACATTCTCAAACGTCCCCTCCGGCTTGGCACATAGCTCGATTACCTGATACTCATTGGAAGGTCTAGCCGCTTGATTGACAATCCCTTGAACATCTTCTGACCATTCTGAGTAAGCATCATGAAGAAGTCTGCGTTAAGGAGGCTCCAAGTTGTAGACGTGAGATTCCTGGTCGAAGCCATCCGTCTCCGAGATAGTTGTGACCTGATGAACAGAGGCTTGAAAAGGATTTGGAAACCACAGAACGCGAAGGAAACGACTTTCATCTCTGGGCACAGTCCGTGGCTCACGTACACAACGGCTGACACACTGATCCGAAAACCCTTCCATGGCTGGGTGGCATGTAGAGCTCGTGGGTCAAAGAACACACCGCGCTCACGAGTAGGAAAAATCTGACCACGACGAATTTTCCCATCCTCGGTTCTGCGGCACGTAACTGGAAATCCATCCAAGGGCTCCCCTTGCACCCACAGCTCACCTCCTTCGAAGTTGCCACAACATAGAAGAAGATTCTGACTTCCTGGGCGATTATGGAGGTCTCGATGTGGCCGGATGGTATTGTTGAAATTCACTTGTGTGCTAGCCCAAACATGTTCGGGAAAGGGAGCATGTGTGAAAGAGTTTATGTAGCGAGTCACCTCGGGGAATTCCTGGGTGCGGTTGGTAATTCCGGAGAAGCCACCGAACACGTAGTAGCCGTAGAGGTGATTGCAAATCTTTCCCTCGGTCTGATGGACTGTGCTACGAGATTTGCCCTTTGCACACTCGAAAGTCGACATGAGAATCTTCTCGAGCATGCGAAAAGTGAACACTGCTCTGTGACAGGCATCCTTGGCCTGGGCCTCAATCTGCATCTTGTCGTCATGGGCCATCCAGCATGCCTCCGCATCAGGTTCAAGACTGGGAGGAAAGGCTGGGTCAAAGTCGAATTCAAAGACATCTGCCTCAGCACTCAAAGCAGGTTCTCTTCTCCGCCCAGACGATTCTGCATCTCCCGATTCTGGAATTCCAACTCCTCCGCCGCCGGTGCCTCTCTCCGAGACTTCCTTCCCGGATGCGTGGGCAGCTGCTCGTCGGTGAGGTCCACCGCACTGTTGCTCGGCACAGCAGGCTTGGCATAGCAGCCGCAGATTTGGCCGGTGGCCCCAAATTGGGCTTCGGATCATCGTTCAGCTTGGTTCGCAAGTCTTGGTATTCCAGATCCGGCTTCGGGTTCTCGGGGTATCCATCCAAGTCCCCTTCGATCACCACTGCCGGCTCCGTGACACGGGCTCGGTTCGAGGCGCTTCAAAGCTGACTGCTCGGCGCGTAGCCCAATGCGCTTGTCCTGCAGCTGCTCAGCTCTTTGACAGCTTAAGCCGTGTCGGCACTCAGCGGTCCCGCCTTGCGAGAAAGTCCATGTGCCCCGATCCGCGGCACATAAAGGATCCGGAGCCCGCAAACTCGACATGCCCTCCACATGGCATGGCCGTTGGCTCCACTGGGGCTCCCACGGCCCGGAAGGGCCTCCTGGTGAAGCCCGTTGCATGGCGGCCCAAGGTTCGTGGATCCCTGGGATCCGCCCGTTCGGCACGAGGCCAATCCAAATCCCTCTCCACTGGAGACGGCTTCTTTGTCTTCGCCTTGCTTGCACTGACCTTCGGTGCACTGGCCTTCGGTGGTGGCTCCAAGGAGCGGAGGGATTGCGAAGGCGGTGTCGCGGCCATGAAAGTGCAAGGCGACCAGGGATGCCAAAGCACCCAAGGATGCTTTCATATCGCTTGAGCTCTGAGCTGCTGGTTCACCGTGATATACACGAGAATCTGCACAAACATTCGAAGCTGCAGAAGGTTGTGGACATGCATGTTCAGCGCACTCACTCAGAGGCTCACCCGGCTGCGACTCACAATCTGGAAACTTCCCGTACACACTTGCTACGAAATTTTCTTCTTCTTGTTCATCGCCGAGACGAAGGTGAGGCGGTATGTCGTCCATTCGGAATCCTTGTTGCATCCAGTCTCCCCGAAGATCAATTAAGAGTTTTGCTTCGACGAAGAGGCATAGCAAGGTTGGGATTGACCGCAACAAAGATTACCAAGCACTTGGAAAAGTCTACTACGGCTTTCAATCTCCTCAGAGTGCGCATGCCGATCAGAATTGGGACACCTTCGCAATCCAAAGTGTACAGTTGAAGTCGGAGTCGGAGTTGCAAGTCACCAATGCTCTGAGGAACAAGCACACATGAAGACGACATACTGAAAGTGCCGTTCCCGAACTTGAATCCTTTAGGAGGCGCAGCTGAAACCTCTACCTCCTCAGTCACTCCACTCAACTGAAACCTCGCTTGCATGAGAGACTCCAATGCCAAAGCCTGCGTTCTCAGGATCGGGGGAGGTCTGGAGGAGCACAGCGTCCCGGTCGGGCTCATGGGAACTCTCGGATTCAATCATGAAGGCTGTGCCATGGTACAAGGCGTGGCCTTTGTCCTTCTGACAACAAATGAAGCAGCCTGTGAAGCCTGGGTCGCCCGGGCCAACAGCAAAAGCTTCGCCTTGGTAAAGCACAGGAGGAGCCGGCCTTGGACCAAAAGCCGATCCCTTTCCCTTGCCTTTCGGCTTTCCGAAGCCCTTGCCCTTGCCCTTGCGTCCTTTCATGTGGGGATTGAAAGGATAAAAACCCCTGCTCAGCGACTTTGCTTTGACGGCTTGTCTGGCTTGGGTGAAGGACCCAACCTTAGCCTCGGCAGCACTAAAGGCATCTTCAATCTCTCTCTGCTGTTCGGGCGGAAGGTCGCCCAAGTCATCATTGTGCGAATGGTTCCAGCTCCAGAAGACACCCGAGGCGTCTTCGTGAAAGTAGTCCCCGTCACCAAAGTCCTGCCACCAAATGCAACTCCCATCGTCCTCTGTACTCCAGAAGCCGTTCTCGGGCTCGCCCCAGGAGTTAGAGGACTCCGCAGCCGCCTGGGTGGCATGAGGAAGCTGGGTGCCGAGGTAGAGCACTTCCTGGTTCTCCAAGATCGCATCTGCTCCAGTGTCCATCTTCTTCAACCCACAAGGTCCTCGCGTTCCGGCTTCCATGGCCTCTCCGCGGATCGTCATGCGTGGAGAGCTCCTCTTCCATGTTGCGAAGGCATCGCTCGAACCTTAAGCTGTTGCCTGCCGCGGCCTGCGATTGCGTAGTCAGGCCAGCTCGGCGAAGCAACAGCCAACCGAACAGCTCGGAGGGCTACACATCCTCCACTGCCTCTTCGTAGGACTCCCAGAGGCGGAGCTCCTCGAGAGCTTTCGTCGAGTCGTCGCTGTTGCTGCATCCACGATCTCCGTGAACTCCTGGATCAAGGTCCTCATCCAGGTCCTCGTGTCCTCCTCAAGAGATTCTGGGGCGCTGGCATCAGGAGGAGCAGTGTCCTTGGCACGGGTCGGAGAGCTCGAAGACGACTTCGGAGGAGTCGGGGTGGGCTCCGCTGGCTTCCTGGCCTTCCGAGGAGACTTGGGGCCCTCAGCAGGAACCTCTGGCGAAGCCTTCCGGTCTTTGCGAGCTCTAGCCAGGGCGACTTGAACCCTTCTGTAAACCTGCCGAACGTTGCTCGACCATGTAGCCATTGACATGCCTGCAGGTCTCTTGAGGCGGATGACAAGTTCCTCAAGTCTCAGACCTACGTCTGGTACCGGATTTTTCCCCAATCTATCACGGAGAAACTCTAAGAGATATATCGTGCCGTTCCTCCGCACGAGGGCCGCATGATCCAGATCTTGAGTAATGTTCCAGGCACGTCCTGTCAAATTCGTGACAATTTCCGGTGCCAGGAGATGGCGGCGGCTGCGCTTGGTGCGTTCGAAGATCAATCTGACCCGTCGTACGAAGTCGGGCCAGCCTTGCGGGTCACCATCCCAGCTGACCTTCTGGAGGAAATTCTTCTCATCGGCCATGGAAAACTGTTGAGCGCCAATCGCGCTCCGCTACCAACTTCAGTGATAGCCCGGTGCAGCCACAAAAGCAGATATGCGGAAGAATGCAACGTGATTTTCTTTTGCTTCCAGCTCCTTCGGAGTCGTCCTGCCGGTTAAGGCCGCACAGCTGAAAAGCCCACGGCCCGAAAGACGCTCCACTAAAGTGGAATCTCAAACTAGTAGGCAAAGATTTGGGCCGAAGGAATTCCTGCGGTACGGCCTTCGTTGTGACGAAATGTATGCAGAGACGCGACAGCTGAATGTTTCATGAAGCTGAAGCTTAGGAACTCACACGGCAATAGTGCCCCGCTTGGCCTGCTGCTTCTTCAAAGCCAGACTCTTGAGCTCGAAGAACCGATCCAGACCTCCGTGAATCTCAAGAATCTGCACAGAATCCGAAGGATCCTCCTAGCTCGATGTTTCATGCAGGTTGATGCGCATGAAATATTACCTGCAGATGTTCTTAAAGATTCGGGAACAAGCTCCAGACCGCTGACTGCAATGGGCTTCTGATTGTCCTTTGCATCCGCAGCTCGTTGGATTCAACGCACGATGGCTGCATCAGGTTCCACCAATCTCTGTTGCTGTCTTCTTCTTGTTCTTCTCCTTCTGCTCTCTTCACTTCCTGTAGACTTGAGGAAAGCATGCCGGAAACATACCTGTCTGCAGAGTTCATATACATGCAGCAGCAATCCGTGTTCCCCGAAAAGAAGCTTTCGGACATTAGTCCACACTCTGAAAAGACATCTTTCCTACGCTCTTCTCATGCCTCCCTCGCTCTCTGTCTCTACATGTACAAGTAACACATGCTGCATGCATATGCGGGTGGGGGTTGTGGGACAGGGGGTTGAGGGTGGCGGGCGCTGGCGGAGCTAATTTGAGGCAGATGAAGAAAATCATTCGGAGACGCTTATCTAGTAGAGCTCTAGCTAGTCTGGGCATCTGCGGCGGTACCTGTCGGTCCGTCGTTTGTAAAACTGCCGTGAAACCCTGCCCACCTCAATTCACGGATGGATTCGGTGGAGCTTCTACACACGTTAGACCTTCCTGCGACCGACTTCGGGCGAGCAAGGGCTACTGGAAAGACGGCAAGACATCGTATGCGAGCTTAATAATGTGCTGAGCTCGTCGTCAGTGCAAATCTAAGACGTAGGACTGCAAGCGTCGCTTTGTGGCCCTGACGGCAAGGGATCACTTGAAGAGCTGCCAAAACACACTGTGAGTGTTTAAAAACAATCCGAGACATTTCCACATGCACAGGATGCATGCATTTGCAAACTACGGCTGCCGATCTTATGTGCAAGAAGTGGCACAGCACGATGCACAGCATTTCGGAGCGAGGGTTACGCAAGCCAGTCAGGCAAGAGCGCTCACCGGAGAACACATCTTGATGGTAGCGTGCTGTAGCTGCTGCTCTTTTCTCAGGTTGAGTGCTTTGTACATTCTCGCGGTCTTGTAGGGCGATCGATGGGACTGCAACTATTGCTATGGGGCTGCGACCTGACGGTGATGGATCAGTTGAACAGCTGCCGTGCTGCTAACACCGTGCGGCTCCTGAAAGATCTCTTTGACACGCGGAGCGAAGGTGCAGTCAGCGTTCTTTTCCTGGTCGGCTTGCGTTCAGTATCTGAATATGTTGAAAACGATGGAACATGTACACCTACACACCTCCTCAAGCTGGCGACGTCTCTCCAGCAGGTATTCGGCTTTCTTCTCTTGCTCCTATGACCGGGCATCGAGCACTCTCTAGGCGCGGTCCTTGCTTTGCTCCTGTCGAATAGTCTCCACAAGCTCGGACCTCTTTGCCTCGGTCCAAGCCGTTGCTTGTCGCGATCATTGTGGACATGTACATTCTGAGGTTCGCACGTACCGAGACTTAATGTGTGAAAAGCGCTTCGAGCTGCGTGGATCTAGCTGTGGCCTCTTCACGGCGATTACACAGCCCGGGATAACGATATATAACGATGGCATCGGCAGACTCCCGCACTTGGCCGTCCTGAAGCTGTACTCGGACGGCCACTCGTCGCCGGAGCCCGCTGGAATCTTCGCAGATCGATAGAGGCGCTCGTGTGCGCCAGAGTCCTTGGGCTGCTTGCAGGTGACGATCGTCACAGCCCGCAGAGCTTGAATCTGAGAGGCTTCGACTCTGCCTGACGAAGTTGATGCCTGCTGGAACAGCCCAAACCAAGCGGGTTGTCCACGCTTGCAACTTAACGCGAACAACAGGGCAAGCCCTGCCTCGGCTCGAGAAGTGGCGATAATCTCGGAAACCGGGTTGATCTGCGGCTTGAAGGTGCAGTCCTTTACAGGCTTGCTTTCACCTCGCCGAACCCTGCTTCAAGCAATGCGCCCCGCGCGGCCCCGACGTAACATAACTTTGTCGTTGAGTTATGGATGGACCCTAATTTGCACATTTACCTGCAGCAAGTCCTTGTGGTGAAGTTGCTCCAGCTCTGCGCGGGTCTGCTCACGGCGCTCAGCATCACGAACAGCGAGCCCTGAGCCAGAGTCTGCAATGCTGCGAATCCCTGCAAAATGTGCTTTGTGGCCGAAGGGCGGTGGATCCGCTCCTCGGGAGTCTCGCCCAGGAGGTCCAAATTGTTGGACACCTTGTGATGCAAAGGTAACAAATAATGCTAGGAAAAGGACAAGGAGTTCTCGTAAGTCCAGGGGCCAGCTGTCGGCTTGTTTCTGTAATGGCCGGGTGGAAGCGACAGTCGCTATCCACGTGCTGCGCTCGAACCTGGCCACCCGGGATGAGCCAGCAATTGCCGGCCAGTGAGCGGTCCAGGCCCCCGTCTGCATATGCCTCCAGTCTCTTCTGCTTCGCCATCTCGAAGGTGTGCTGTCTAGTGAGAAAGTCCTGTGACGAGGGTTCCAGAGTTTGGAACAAGCTATGGGCAATGCCTTGAATCAATTTCTCCTCCAACATGCTCCGGTCCGTGGACAGATTCATTCCAGTCCTGCTGCGGGCCCTGGAAGTAAACGGAATCCTTGCAGATCTTCCTGCGATGCACATGCGACCGGAGCGGGTGGCATGCTGTCCTGATGCCGTACCAAGATGTACCAAGCAGGCGCCGCTTTTTCCACAGCTGTGACCTGTGGGAGCACTTCGTGTGGGCATGGTCTCAGCCACACCGCGTCTCATGAGCAGAGAGCGAGCAACTCTAGCTCAACACTTGATGCTTAAACTGACACATGACTTGCTCGATCAAATCGCCAGACTGGCCGTGCAACCGCGATCTCAGACGGCGCCCACCCCAAGCTTTCCGGCTCTGACATCGTCGACTGCGTGGCCATCCCCAGGA